TAGGAATCGCGTGATTCCGTGAGATAGCCACAGACGTTTATCTAAACGATCGCAAAGGGCAAGGGCAAACCGCAATTTACCGGTCTCTTTGCGTCCTTTGTGGCTTCATGATAAATATCTTCCTCAGGAATAGTCAAGAATTTTTCAGACGTTTTTCCTTTGTTTACAAATCCAATTCTTGACGAGTGAATGATAAGTTGTTGGAATATTTGGTAAATTGTTTAAGCGGTATCACCTGAGTGATTGCCGCATTCAGTTTTAACACTCTTTTCTTATAATAAATAATTTTGATGTAAATAGTAGTAGCGTAGTGGTCTGTTTGATTGTAGACAGATGGGAAAAACAAAGTCAGAGTGACTTTGTTTTTCAGTTTTTTTATTGTATCAAATGTTCCTATGAAATTCTTATGGTACCAGAACTTCGGTCGTCCGATGATACGATGGTATATGCACTGCCAGGTTCACGGACACTAATTAAACGACCAGTACTGGTGGAAGAAACTACAATTGTGTGGATTTAAAAATGACCATAACCTGGCCTTAAATGCCTTATAAATCATTTGTTTTTATCAAACTTCAGTCAATTTGTTGCTCATTTTAAAAAAATTACATAAGTCAAAAATCTCCGATTGCAATATATTCAAAACAAGAAATAAAAAGATGCGAGTGGAAAGTCTCCATTATACTAAACCCAACTACATTCAGAATTTTTCCAAGCCATTTATTTTAATCTTGAGGGTCCACAGAAGGCAGTATACTCACTATACAGCCTGCGTAAATCCCTATGACGTCAAAGCGTGAGGTCACGGTAAATTCGAGATGTTGACTATAATAAATTGTCGCTTAAATGACTAATATTCTAAGTAACTCTTCGTGTAGAAACCAAAACCTTGACTTAAGGTTTTTTGATTGCAAATAATATACTTTTTATTACGTTTAGTAAAAAGATTTTGAGTTAATTAGATAGTTAAAAGAATAAATGTAATATAAATAATAAATGGGTTCCACGATTCACGACCACGAGTTAAAATGCTAAAGGTAAATGGTAAGTTCAAATAAAATGTCTTTTTTTAATTACAGCTTACACGTTTTTCTAATGCAACGTAAAGAGATATACAAAAACTAGTGGACGTTGGACCCCTCAGACGTTGTCCTGCATGATATTTAAAGCGATTAGGATATTAAGCAAAGTATGAAAGTACCGACTGCAGTGCCATCTGCCGGGCTGATTTGTGAATCTAAACCATTCCCAGATCCCCTTGAACACACACAAAAAATTTCATCAAAATCGGTCCAGTCGTTTGAGAGAAGTTCAGTGACATACCTACACACTCACAGAAGAATTATATATATAAAGATTATCGGCCCATCGCTACTTAAAATATTAAAGCAAAGACAAGTGTGTATTTTGGACAAAAATTTACGACATGTATCAACTAAACTAACAGATGTGGGAAATTGCATTACATTTTTTTAAACTTTAATTTTACTGCCTTTACGTATTTAAGCTAATAAACAGTCTAAGTCTACATAAAATACAACGTATTTTATTTAATTTAACTCTCACTGATGTCTTTAAAGTGTTGTCACAGTGTTTACTAGCACTTTTTCTTAATTTAAAAGTATTCTAGATGTTATATATAATTCAATTTATAATATCATTTGCTATTCTTGTATGGTGTTTAAACGTAAGGCAATCGAGATGGATTTTGTCAGAATAATCTCTTATATTGTTATTATTATAATTTTTTTGTAGAGCAAACGGTAATAGGCTCACCTAATGTTAAGTGACGACTGCATTATTGCACGACGATGATAGCATTGAGATTGGAGTTCTCGCGAGAATTGGTACGCTCTTTTCTTAAAGGACCCTAAGTCGAATAGATTCGGAAATACTTCAGTGGGCAGCTGGTTCCACATAGTGGTGGTGTGCAACAAAAAGTGATTTAATTAACCACTACATCAACAGCCCTGTGCAGGAGTGAAACGGTGGGCTGACAGAACGCTCGAGTTCCCGAAAGAAGGTGGGCTAATCTCTCGCCAAATCAGCGCCGTAAAGGGCACGAAGTAAACAGAACTTCAGATCCCACAATGATTCAACGAATCCAAAAGAGGGTGAACGGATACTTGGTAGTTCTCTGGATCATCTGGTCAGCAGAAGGTCCAACAAAGATGTTTTATCTGTTATCTATGTATCTAAATCTGGTGTTTGCGTAATTGCCAGGACAAAGTCATAAAATAACTGTCAGTAATACAACTACATCATTATTAACGTATTATATACCTATTTACTTATCGAACAAAATGCTTTTTTAATACTAAGAAATCTTTACTTGACTACTCGCAGTGGTGACTATATTATGAAAGAGGTCAAGGTGATCCCTTGAAATTTTCATGTTAACCTAGTTAACATTAACACCTCATTATGTAAATACCAACGTGACCAAGCTTTGATTTACTCATTTTGTCGTTCAAAGTTTAGGTTGAATAAAAAACGTCAACAATATATCAAGTTACGTAATGTATAAAAACAGAATAAGCCAAAGCATATCAATAGCGATGCAGATCACATGTATCTATGTAGTGCTTGTTTGGGGATAGGTTTCGGCTCCCTTCTAGTGTGAGCAATCCCTAATTTGCGATGCAAGATCTGATATTTAAAAAAACAGTGGCGCTACCACCCTTTGGTTATGGCCTCAGATTTATTTATTTGTTTCGAAGTATTTTTTTTTTACTTCTTCGCACGGTTTTCTCGATATTTTCTGTCACAAGCGATTGTTAAATTTTATTATTTTATTGTTAGGCATGCATTAAATATAATGTTTAATCCTGTCATTGGAAAGGTAAATTTTATTTTATTTTTACTCCCAAACATCACACATTAAAATGAGGACAATCAGATACTTGTAAAAATATGTTATAGAAAGGATAACACGTGTTAAAATGACGAACGATAACCAGATCCATGAAACTTTCTCAGAATCAAGTAGCCCGCAATATCGGAGCACACATCTCACGAGAGGACTCTTTGTACAGTAAGTGTGTAAGTGCGTGATCCTATTTCACCATGCCTCCTGCTCATAGATGACCAATGTTGTTAATTTATTTTATTATTCTTTATTACTTAAGACGTCATGAAGAACACGGTGTAATGGTTGCAGCTTGGCGATTAAAAAGAGTGGCGGAGAGTTTATTGCCAGTTCTTCTCTTCCGTTCTACGCCCTTGATTTGAAAACTGGCAGTAAATGTAAAATTAGAAGAATTTCATATATATTTCTTTTTGACGTTCATAAGTGTGTTACCTGTATGAATAAATGATTTTGACTTTGACTTTGTCAAAACACTCAATAATAGTAAACGACTCAGTGAAAGGTCTCTAGGGAGTGGCTGAAAATATCCACCGAGTCATTTTTTATCACACTTTTGTTGTAAATCTGACACAATCTGTTTAATGGACTATTAAACGATGAGCACAAACGTGGGACAGGCGTGTAAAAGGGATATTTGTTTCTAGTCAACTGTGTACTGCAGTAGATAGGGATTTTATCAAGCAATTGCGTATGAAAATCACTATTATTATCTTGTACAGTACACTACATCCATGAGGTCACGTCGCAATTCAATTTAAACGGGGTCAAATCTTTTAAGGCGAAATTCTAATACACTCATAGAAAATATGTTGACGCGAGATAAACGTATGTTTGACGTGAAACTCGGCGCAGAATTGAACATGTATTAAATCCAAATGAACGTAGAAAATTAAAGAAATGAGCAATTGAAGTGGCATTGATGGACCACGTTTGCAGGTAACGCAATATGAGTGAAATCTGTGGATTTTAATGAATGTATAATATAAAATTAATAATAAATAAATATATAATAAAATGTGGATGAGACGGGAAATGTATTTTCGACTAAAATAATGATTTTGGAATTCAAGTGCACATAACTTGTTACTTAATGGCCTATAACCCCTAGTCTCCATTACGTTCGGTCTTGAGCCTCGTATTTCACCTCGCCCCAAGTCCTTCCGGCTCTCTTTGCCTCATCTGCTTCACCTCATTACGCTTCCGCTTTTCTTGCGGTTTCCAATCAAGCAAGATTGGGATCCCTTTGGAGTTTATGCCCATCCATTTCCATTTGCGTCGCTTGATCTGCTGGCTAATCGGGAGTTCAGGTGCATAGTTGGTAATTAAAGATTTAAGTTATATAGTACCGGTGACCAGACGCTGGTGCTTTTCTCGCTCAACAAATTAGTACCGCAATACAGCGAGGAAATGCTTCCAGTTTTAAAGTTACACCCACAGGAACCAATTTTTGAAGTGAAACTTTTTAGGCGCATGAGGGTGCAGCGTTTTTGTCGAAGAAAAGAGAGAGAGAGCGATTGAGGCCGATTGAGAGAGAAAGTCTCAGAAATCTAAAGTTTTAGATTTGTATAAGAACAAGACTTAAAAATTAGTTTGCCAAAGAAGTTTCACTTCTGACATGTGTACTTTGTACGCACGCATTTTTTTAACTTTCTATTTAACCATTAACAATTATTATATAGATTATATATTGTTATAATAATTATTAATGACTTATAAAATTGTTTAGTTTATTGTAACTACAAAAACACTAGCCACCAAAGAAGTAGCGAACAATAGCTGATTGTCTACCTGGGTTATGGATAGAATAAACATAACGTATTCTTTAAAATTATAATAAATAAATAACTCTAGACAAAATTTTGGGTCGATCGATGACTTCAGATTATAAAACGGTCGAAATTGTTTTTGAGCCTGCATATTATGCATTGTGATGAAATATGTATCACTACGTGGCACCTTCAGAATTAATTAATGTTTACATACGTTAGACTTGTTAGATTTCTAAGCAAGGTCTCGGCTCCGAAGGAAATGTTGAGTAATCCGCATTCCATCTGTAAATTAGGAAAGAGTAAAACAATTTGTCATCGTATTTCTACTCAAATCCCAATTCTTCTCAGTCGTATTATTCATGTCAGGTCGCGTCACTGTCTGCCTGCTGCCCTGCAAGTGATAACTCACTTTGTTCAGTTGGTAGCTGGTTCGCAGCAGCTATGACACTTGAGAATTTTTGTTTGGTCACACCAGCGGGTTGGACCTCAACTCCGTTAGCGCTTACTAACTGAAATTTTTAAGATGAGATTTGTATATTACTATATAAAATTCTCTTGTCGCGGTGTTTGTGGTTAAACTCCTTCGAAACGGCTCGACCGATTCTCATGAAATTTTGTGTGCATATTTTATTAATTTTTGATAAATTTTTATTGTTTTATTTTTTTATGATACAACATTAAACAATACATACAACCCCTAATTTTCGTCCCTCTACGATCAACCCCTATTTTTATTATAAATGATATAGGGGAAGATCGTTACCCTTCGTACGTGGGGCACATTCATACAGTCAGAATAAAACTTGAACGAAACAAAGTACAGTCTTGTTTTTGTATGTGTGCATGAGTCGAGGTACGAACTATACATCAACGAAGTTTGGTGAAATTCGCACCGATGAGAGTGAAGCTTCAGGCATGGACGTGTTTTCGCGCTCGGTAAGTAATTTTTTGATCAATGTTTTTTGCTCTTGTTACCGTAGATGAAATAAGTTTTCGTGTAGAGTATTCTATCAGTAACTAGCAAAATATACTTAAGATACGTCTCCAATACTTAATTTATGACGTTTTCCTTTTAATATTAAAATAAGTTATATTTTGTTGTTATTCAGTTAGTGGGGTACTTTCGGACAGCACTAGATGGGGCACATTTGAACGAATTGTACAACTAAATTTGTATGAAAATATTTTGTCGACACGAACTGTCATTTTCATACAAATTAAGTTTTCGACTTGCTACATACAAATAATAATAAGGCATCTTGACTAAACCCTCTGGTAGGTAGGAAAGATTGTATTAGTGTGCTAATTGCTAATATTTGCATTAACTTTGTCCTGTGTTGCTATCATTGCTATCGTCTATGTAAATATATATTAATACCTATTTTTATTATCTTTATTAAGGTTGATTTTGATGCCTGTGAACCAGATGCTTTGAATAATTTACCAATCCATCAAATAATCCTTCGAAGTCAGTTTTGACACCAGAAGCGTTTCGACCCTATCCGCATGTTGTAAGAAGTAATAAAACAAAAAAATGACGACGACGGCCAGGAAAACCACGAATTTATACTGCCACACCCGAAAATAAGAAGTGCTAATCCGCACCAAAGATTAAAAAATGTGATTCTAAATTTAAGATACCTAACTAATTAATGCTAAAAGCTATGTAATTTTTGTTCACTATAAGAAAAGTATTTTATTTTTGTTTAATAGAAGTTAAATCTTTATTTTTGTGTTTAATTTCATTGCTAATAAATGAATTTTGATTTATATGTGTCGTTTTAATCGCACGTACGGAACTACCCCACAGCGTACGAAGGTACCTCCAACACTGTACGAAGGTGCCCCGTGAATGGGGCAGATTCGTACGTTTCCCAGATTTAGTTTAAATCATAATTATGGTTGAACCATAAGATGAAATCATTTGTCATTTTTTTATATGAATCTCAGATAGTAGGACTATAAATTTAAGCTTGCAGATGATTGATTAATGGAAAAAGAAAAAAATTAAAAATAAAATGTGAAAACCGTACGAAGGGTCCCGACCTTCCCCTACATGGCAAAACGACGTTTGCCGGATCAGCTAGTATTGCTATATAAATACAGGATAAGAATAATTAAAACTAAAATATATATTATTATATTTCCGTTATTATGAACAACAGAGTTTAATGTAAACCACTAAAAAAACAATTTAAATTTTATACGCATCGTTGTATTTTGAGTTAAAACTATTATGATAATAAACAGTAATATTATTATTATTACAATGTAGGTTAACAATATTATAAATAGTAATGGAAATAATATCGGATCTGCTATTAGATGGAAACAGGCCATACACAAATCGCTGCGCTGCGTGAAGAGTTCGCTAGTGCTTTCGATAATTATTGATCTTTACTGATATTTTGCGCTAGTACTATGTTACTGATAATAGCGATAGCGATACCGATTCTCAGCTTTTCGAATGCAATTTCGATAAAGAACCTAAAATTTAAAAATTATTTGACTATGTTAGATCAGTTTATCATTTTCCGCATTAGGGCAGGAATTCGGTAAGTTATTGTAGAAACCAGTTATAATAAATATTCGTTTGATTGCCGCATTGTTAGGTTTTATCGATAAATCACATAAATTATCCGCTTAAGATTTCTATTATTGAAAGCATCAGTTGTCACATTTAATTTCATGGTTAATAATTTTGTAGTTATAAGGAGAACTAAAGTGCTTCCGAACCCGGTGAGAAACCGGTGGAAACAAATGGTCGGCTCCAAATGTTTCCATGCTGACCACAACGCTCAAACAAGAGGTACGGACAGAAGAGAGAGAGATAAGAACTATAGTCTCTCGTCAAAATAGTTTATTAATACGAGCGTCACTGTTGCTCTATACCGTCGTGTGTAAACGCAGGCTCCAATTTCCCCGTACTTGACTATCTAAAGTTAGTCATTTTTGGGAAAAGGGATACTTTTCTTTAATAAAATCCCAGATGCCTTTTCATAAATTTAAGAAATGTATAAAAGAAAAGCTGTGTAAAAAGGCTTACTATAAAGTCAACGATTATCTAGTTGATAAAAGGGCCTGGGACTAGTGCTAGACAGGTTACTTCTAATTAATTTGCGATATTTGTTTTAAAATAAGTGCTGTTGTATGATGATATTTTGATGTTTTAAAAGAGTACCGAGAGTTGTTTACGCCGGCTCTTTCTCTCGGCCTACACCCTCTGTCTTCTCTGTCTTCCAATGAGTAGGGATGTCTACCGTAATAATTTAATAACGTGGAATAAGTGATCTTATATTCCATAATAAACATATTTTTTTCTTTTTTATTAAAAAAAATATACCTAAGTCTGAGTTTTGCGATTGCGATCCCAACTATATTGTTCCATATTATGTTCTATATCCTAATTACCTTCAAATATCTTGAGAATCTCTATCGGTATTGGCAGTAAAAGTACTAGCAACATACCAGTAAATATCAATCATCGAAAGCACTCGCGAACACTTCACGCAGCGCAGCGATTTTATGTATGACCTGTTTCCAATGGCATATCCGGGAAATGTCCGAATCCCCGTGCGCCATTTGGTTTTTCTTTTTACATGCGTAAATTGACACAGGTGCATGATGATAGCAAGATATACACGTAAGTACCAACTCTTTCATTGCGATGTTTGCGGAACCAGTATTACGAAAATGCATGCGAGTGGTCTTTTCTAGGGCGTCAATATGACTCAGGCATCGTCCGAGTTCCATTCGATGTCTCGGTCTGTCGGCCACAAGCAGTCTTGTTGCTGCCACGCGACCATCGCGTTTAACAACATCGTAATATTGTCCAGATATAGTGCTTAGTGAAGAATTGTGTTGTGAAGCGAAAGCGACAGGATCTCGGGTGTTCCGTTGGTGTCGCAATGAAAAGTGGTTAAATTATGAAATCTGGTTTATAACTGTGTATTGGGAGTCGCTTATGTAAATCTCTTGCATTCTACGAAGTAAGTATTTACGCTTTGGTTTTTTAATAAACTTGCCTTTGTATATAACATAATAGTGATAAAATATTATAGCGTTATAAGATTTGAGATTTAAAGAAAACACTTTTTTAATGGATTGAAGTTATGTATAAACTTATAATTATTTTACATAATTAAACTATTTTTTTCCCACGTTTCGCGTGCTTTACAGCGTGCGTGGTCACGGTGACCATAACACACATAAACACATAACTTCAATCCGGTAAAAAAGCGTTTTCTTTAAATGTGTAAAAGTTATGTTAATAAAAGACAATACTAAGATTTGAGATATTCTAGTAGTTCATAAAATATAAAAAGAAACAAGTTTTATAAACGAATGATGATATCTATATACTTGAAATATATTATAATGAAAAAAAAACAATCAATAATTAATGAATCTACAGTTTATCGATTAGTTGCAAGCACCGGAACTTCTTTATGCCCTTAATTAATTATAAAATGTTACAATGTGATGATGTGTGATAAACCAGTGGCGTTTTCAACCCTTAGGCCACATTGTAATGGCAAGTAGGTGATCAGTCTGCGGTACCTGATCACATTCTGTGAACTTATTAACGCCGATTTCCACACAAAGTTTTCATTCACTGTACTAACGAGTGTTGATTGCGCGCATAGAAAAACGTTCATTGGTGCACAGCCGTAATTCGAACGCACGTTCTCAGGTTTGAGAGGCGCTGACTAACATTTACAAGTTTAAGTATGAAACTTGATTATAATTTAGACAAAGATTAGGAGTGTTCAGAATATCCATAGCGCTAAATTACAGTGCCGGATAAAGCCAGCGCGGGGCCTGTAGCAAATTCTGCCTAGGGGCCCTTGGTTAGGCTTTAGGATTTAAATAGTTCGCCTGTTTCCTCGAAACACTTATAATCGATATTATATTAATATCGATTAGAAAAATACAATCTCGGCTACGTAAACTTGCAAAATAAATGTATACCTATATAAAAATAAAAATCTGAAGGGTACAAATAACATGCTAGTCTAAATATGTATATCGATTATAATTAAAATTTGAAAATTAACGTTAAAAAGTTAAATACGTACTTATTGTTACGATTAAACTTGACGAAGTCGAGTTTATTTTTATTGGGAATTGAAGAATAGACAAAGCGCTGCGCGTTAAAGGTATGCAAGATATTTTACGCTCCTATCTAAATTAATTCAGACAGGCGTTGGAGAGCGGGGCCCCTAAGTTCGCGGGGCCCGTAGCATTTGCTACTCTTGCTATGTGGCTAATCCGGAACTGCTACATTATCTGCACCATGAGCACACCCCACATACACATCCTCACGTACATACCCTCGCTTTCACTCAATCACACAGCACAGCCGAATTAGGTATTACGTTTATTATAAATTTTATTGTTGTTTTCTAACGGAAATATTCGAAACTTTTTTGTATATATTAAGTATCTTTGGTTATACCTACGTTTAGTATAATTGATTTTTTGTTGTATATAACTTATGTTAGCTGCAGGATTATGAAATAAATAGATTCAAAAACGCTTTACTACATATTAGTTTAATATCTGAAAACTGTCATTACATGCCTTAATATAAAACACAATCGGACACATATATATATATATCATTACAATAAAGATTTACAATATATTATAAAGAGTGATAATTTTATTTTTAACTTCACTGATACTTTTAATAGAGCAGTGTTGACCTAGTGGATTCAGTGTGCGACTATCATACCTGAGGTCGTAGGTTTGATCCCCGGCTGTGCACCAGTGGATTTTCTTTCTATGTGCGCATTTAACATTTGCTCGAACGGTGAAGGAAAACATCGTGAGGAAACCGACATGTCTTGGACCTGGGGCTGATCACATACTTGCCTATTAGAAAAAAATTTATCATGAAACAGATTCAGAAATCTGAGGCCAAGACCCAAAGAGGTTGTAGCGCCACTGATTTATTTATTTATACTTTTACTAATAGAAAACTGTATTATTCCTCATCGGCACGTGTTTGATTACAATATGCTCGAGAACCCGTTCCACAAACGAATGCACGGGCAAATGCAAGCACTAATGTTTAAGCAAAAATACCCGTTGAATACGTTCATCGGTATTTTAGTCGTTTATAAGTATTTATTATTTAGTAGCAAAGTCAGTGTTACATTATATTATTTCATCAAATTCAAATGTGACCTGTAGGTCTATATAATAGAGGCCCAATAAAATACAACATTTTAAATGGAAATAGCGTTGGTAGTCAACGAGGCGTAGCCTATTAACCTGAGAACTTGAATATTGGATAAACTTGAATATCAATAGACGTTTAAATATGATACAATATTTTTTATGGAGTTAGGTGAAATAACAACGATTAAAAGATGAAAAACCTTAGTGAATAACATAGTGTATTATTGTTAATTATTAAGTTTAGGTTTCAAAATTAAAGTTTATTTTCATTTAAAACATACATGAGAATAAAAATTAAAACATAAAAAGTCAAAATATATTACGCCGCCCTCGCGTCGTACGCTACTGCATACTAAAAATGCAGGCGTATGTATTCGAAACGGGTCCACTGCTAGTATTGCCCGTATCTCAGGAGGCAAGCTATTGAAAAAAATCGCCCAGAAATAGGTTATATTTTTGCGACCGTATTCATTTCTGATTTTAGGTAAATATTTATGATTAGTGTAGTGCCATGAGGCAGATATGAATGTTGCATGAAATGTTCTGCGCCAGAAGAACTGGTAGAGAATGCCTATCCGAACAGAAGAAGCTAAATGGAAAATATTTACTTTAACCTTATTGAGAATTAATTTCAAAAATACAAATATAATAATAATAGTAATAAAAGCTTTCGTTTATTAAAACCTTAACTTAGTAATAATAGTTATGCCAAAAGTTTGGTCCCTGTAGGCTTTTAAAGCTGACAGCATTTTCTTGCTTCTGAGATACTTATTCGTTAAGCGAGGAAAGCACCATCTCTGGGGTCACTGGTACTATCTACCATATGGAAAACTAATAGTTTCCTTTCTACAGCAGTAATTATGGAGACTGATTCAGGTAGTTGCTTCAGTGATTAATTTATCACACAAATTTATCAAACAATCTTCCACAAGGATTTTCAAGATATTTTTTCCCTGAAATATATTTATACTATAATATTTTTTCATCCAATAATACATATTATAATCATACAACAAGTTATATTGTAACATCCAACTCCAACTAAAGCCCACATTAAAATATATAAAATATTTCGTAATTCTTTAGTACGACTAAGTTAGTTCCAATTTCTAGTCTTTAGAATCTTTAGCTATTGTAGTTTCTGTAACAATGTTGGCACTTTGCCAGGAATCTGAATTAGTTAACAAATATTTAGAGCAATAAAATGCTACTAGAAGGACACCCTGTCTGTTGCGCTTGAGCGGAACGTCGTAAAACTCAAGACGGCAAACACTTGCAAACATAATAAAAATGTACTTGTAAAGAATAGTTTAGTTGTGATGCAATATCCTTATTTTCCTTAAAATTCTAAGTGTGATATTTGTAGTATATGGGTTCTTACCTATGGATATAAACGCAAACGAATTTATTACATTATTAAATTTAGTACTAGTGATTAAGAGTTGCTTACAGCAAGATAAGTTTTTTTTAAGTATAGTAATGGCGAGCCGTGTTGGCCAAGTGGCTCTCATACCTGAAGTTGTAGGTTTGAGCCCCCGGCTGTGAACCAATGGACTTTCTTTTTATGAGCGCATTTAACATTCGCTCGAACGGTGAGGGAAAACATAGTGAGGAAACCGGCTTGCCTTAGGCCCAAAAAGTCTAAGGCGTGCGTCAGGAGGATCACCTACTTGCCGATTGATTAACAAATGATCATGAAACAGATACAGAAATCTGAGGCCAACCTAAAAAGGTTGTAGCCGTTTAAATTTAAGACTATAACATACCAAGAGTATTTATGACTTATATAAAATATTGAATTAATTTTTATATCAACTTGGTTGGGCACAATTCCGTTTTAAAACCCGTTTCTAGATTTAGTATGAAGTCATTGCTCTTTAAACCAACAATAATCACAGAACTGTGTACTAACAATAAATTTTTACTCTTATGGTCGCTCCCTCAGATCCGAATTTTCAAAATTTGCCCAAAATAGGTTTATACAAGCGTTTTCCGTGGTGTTAAATCATGATTTACGACAATTTTTTTCTTAATAATTTTTAGCGTTTATGTTCTACAAAACCTGCATTAAATTTACACTCCAGAAGAGTGAAAAAGGCAGAGCACACAGTCTTGTGCCCCTAGATACTTTCTTTTAAACGTTAGGAGGTATTAATTGGCAATTTCACAAACGAGATTATTATGAAACCAGAAATGTTGAACGTGCCTGTATGAGCAGAGATTTCGGTCGAAGAACGAGGTCAGGAAACGCTACGTTATGCATTCGACTTCCGCGAGTTTACAAACGTTATGATGCGCAATAAAAAAATTCTGATGAAATGAAGGAAGTTGAATGTTAAAAATAAATCCGTGAATAGATGGATGTATACATTCCAGGAGAGATTTAGATACCATTTGTAAAATATTAATGGGGAATATCGCGTAATTATTGACGGTTATGTATATAAAAAAGTGCCCACACTCACTAGATGTTATAT